TGTTCTATAGCCTTCCAGGGTCTTCCATCTCGTTCTAGAGTATTCTAGAATCTTTCGGCATCTTTAACACTCCTCCATAGTATTCCATAATGTTCTAGAATCTTCCAGATCATTCTAGAACATGCTAAATTCTTCTAGACAGTAACATGATTATATTGGGCTAGTGATGACCTTCAACACTGGCCCCCATTCTTCGTATCATGTTGAGCTGACATCTAAAACCTTCACTTTTTCTTTACTTAGCCCTTTGGTGAATAATTCCGCTATTTGTTTATCAGTCTTGATCTGTCGCATATTGACTTCTTCCTTGAGAACTTTTTCTCTTCCACATGCTTGGTTTTTTCTTAGTTGTTGCAGTCGTTGCTTCGTATATTGTTTTCGTAGTTGAAAACGACATTCGTGGTTGCATTTTCTTGCAGCATAATATTGTTCCTGACTTTGTTGAACTGTCTTGTGTAGTTTCTTATGCCTCCCTTTGAGAAACTTGTAAGCATGTGAGTTGTCCCTTTTACAAGCCTTGGAAAATTCCCACAATATTAACATGTTATGACGTGATCCCTTATTGATCTGCTCATCTCGTTTAGATGTTGCTCTGTTGAGAAATTCTACTTTGCTCTTACGAATTAATGTGTTTTTCTTCTTTTTCGCTTTATCCAGTTTCTCCATCACATGTTCCATTTTTCGTCTAAGATGAGACTTTTTATGCAACTCTGGTGACGTCATGTTCTTATTCTCCTTTGGAATGTCCATCTTCAAGGGAATAACTTCCTCCTTCAAGGTTGTCATAAACTCTATCTCACTCTTCTTGAAACCTTTGTCGAGTTGCATAGTTGATAGCATGCGGGATCCAATCATATTTCTCTTCAAGGGTACAATGTGAATTGTTGAACCCTTGGTGATACGCATGGTATCGTCTCTCTCAAATGACCAAGGTCGTACATTTTCTAAAAAATCCTTTCCCAATACCATATGATAGTCATCCATATGCACCACTGTCAAGTCTATGGTTCCTTCCCATTCTGCTATCTTAAGAGGTACTCCATATGCAACACCAATGATAGGCTTGGATAAAGAGTTGACGACTTTCAACCGGCCTGGCATTTTGGTGTATTTGATGCCCTGCTTCCTAGCTTCATCTTCAGCAAGGAAATTATGAGATGCACCTGTATCTACCAATGCCTTGGTGTATCCTCCATTTACCCTGGCCTCCAGGAACATTAACCGTCCTCTTTTAGTCTTATTCTCTTCTATAGCAAATAGTGCCTCAACATCCCATTCATCCTCTACTTCCTTTTTGGAAGTTATTACATTGCTTTCCACAAACTTTTTCTTTGACCAACAATCCTTGAACATGTGGCCCCACTTTCCACAATTGTTGCAGTTGCCTTCGAACCTCCTCCCCCGAGAACTCTTATTTTTGGTCTTTTGAGATCTCCATGGTTGTGAGGTTCCTGGCTGACTCTTCCCTTTGTCAGCACTTTTGTATCCTTCTTTAGAGGGTGGCATGAAGTTCCTCCGACTTTTACTTGTGTAGAGTGCTTCTTCTTCACTCTTCAACGTGATGCCTCCCATTTTCTTAGCCATACCTTCTTGGCTGGACAACAAATTCTCAAACTCTACAAATGATGGCTGAACGGGCCATCCTTGTACATCAGTAACAAAGCTTCTATATTCCGGCCTCAGTCCATGGATAATGATCCTCTTCATTCGAGCTTCTGCAATGACGGATTGCGGATCTAGTTCAGTAATCTCCCGACATATCGACTTGACCTTGTGGAAATATTGAGCAATTATCATGTCACGTTGTGAGATTGATAATAGCTCGTTCTCCAAAAGTTGTAGTCTCGTATCATTCTTCTTTGAGAAAAGTGTCACAAACGTGTCCCAAGCTTCTTTCGGGGTGTTCTCATCCCGAATATGCTCCAACATCTCTTCTTCGATTGTGGTCTTCAAGGCAAACATTGCTTTGCCTGCTTTGGTTTTCCAATTGCACAAAGCACCATTAACGTCTTCCTTTGGTGGCGTAGTTTCGCTTCCACCAACGACCTCCCACATATCTTGTCCTTGTAAGTAGGACTTCATACATGTTTCCCACGTTTTGTAGTTGTTGTTGTTGAGTTTCTTGATTCCTCCGAAGACTTGGAGATCACCCATCGTGTTGGCAGTACCTCGGTAATACCAAACAAGCTAGTTTCGACACTAAACTTGCAGAGTCACAAACTACTCACGATACAACGAGAATCACTTGTTCTCACTATCAAGAAACCTCGCTCTGAAACCAGATTGTTGAACACGACTCTTTTATATGGGAAACAACAAGACTTTTATTAAGACACTTAAGGAGAACTTACACTTTGTGAGACTACTACACACTTTTCTTACTTGGAGGCTTTTCTTGGGATACTTAGATGTTGGATTGATTTGGAGCAAATCAGCTCCACACCTATTTATAGGTGTTTCCACCTCCTTATAGGAAGTTTCTAGATCTACATACATTCATGGCTATTCTAGAACTATCTACCATATTCTATATCTATTACAAGCTTTTATATGTTTCTAGAATGTTCTATAATGTCCTAGATAAGTATAGACATTCTTGTGTCTTCCATAGTGTTCTAGAATGTTCTATAGCCTTCCAGGGTCTTCCATCTCGTTCTAGAGTATTCTAGAATCTTCCGGCATCTTTAACAAACCGATCATTCAAAATTTAACCAAATTATTAAATCTTGACTTGTTACAGTCAATTACAAAATCCAATAAACAAATATGTGTTTAAGTGTACGTATGAGGAAAAAACCTTATAACTTCCAAGCAATTACTTAGATGATCATTAAGAAAGAAAACGCCGGCAAGATCAAGAGGAGCAAACTCACATATATCATACATATATGTTTTACTTTGAAGGTCAAAAGAACTACAACCAATCCAAGTTTTTGATAAAAGATTCCAGTTGGCTCTGATACCAATTGTTGATTATTTTGATAACCAAAAACATAAACGCGGAAGCATAAACTTTGGATGTATAATCTCGAATCTAATTAAAAGAAAACTTGAACATTAAAGAACGATTAGATACCTGATTTCACTATAATCTTCAGATCTGAAGAATTAGGGTTTGGTTTTCCAGTTGATTTCAAGAATACCTCTAAAAACCCCAGCAATAAAGAAAATGAAAATTTCTATGTAACTTCATATTCTGCTCATCAAATGTATATATAGATGGAACACACCAAAATTGATTTATCTGAAATTTCTATAATTCAAATGTCAGTGGTCGGAGCTTGACCTACAGAGGAGGCATATACAAAGACGGGTTCACTTGTTCTTTTAGTTTATTTTGTAATAGTAAAATGAGGATCCCGGTACTTATATGCATTTTAGGAAATACATTTCATAGTAAAATCATTTGGTAAGTGACTTTTATAATTAATATTCTTTGCTTGAAACTTTTATTATATGAGGGAATTACTTCTTTTAGAATAGATGTCGGGATTACTTGGAGAGGATGCAATCTTTAAGTGGCTTTTGTGGGCACCACAAATCAGCTCATCTTTCTATTTAAGATATGTAAGAGAAGATGGTAGGAATATTGAGAGAAACAAAAATAAAAGTTAAGAGTTAGTATTTACTCCAGCAAGCAAGTACTGATGTTGTATCTACACCAGGTTAGTAGCTTGCAATGAACACAAGATAATGAGAAAAAGGATATGAAGTTGGTATAAATTTAACTTTAATTGTACTCAATGTACAATTAAAGTTTATTTTTTAAATATAACACATAAGAACTACTGTCCATGGAGGGAGAGTGATAAGTCTAAATACAAAAAATCATGTTTCTCTCCTATATAAAACTAAAAATTACTAACCCAAAACTTATATTGGCACTACAGTTTCATCCCAAAAGTTTGTTGCTGAAACTGTTCTTATATAGTTTGGTTATCAAACAGTTTTTCTCTGTAAGAGAGGACTGATTCCTACAATCTATAGCAACATATTAATACTGAAACAGTTCATATATATACTTTGCTGTATGAGTATGTATTATGAAGATTGTCCAGCCTTGTGTAACATACCCACATGATGAGAGGAAGGCCAAATGCCATAAAAATGCACAATCACTTACAAAGATGCCAACAAATGATATTTTAAATATATAACTAATAACTGGCCAGTATTACATTTGTATAGTGATTTCTTCTAAGTAGATAAAAACAGTTATATAAATTTTACTATATCTAAAATGAACTAGTTCTTTTGGGTTGATCTACTGTCTAATTTTGTCCATTTAAACAATCAACAAAAACCAAAGGGCTTCTAGCCCAGTGGTATTAGGTGTTGTGTTTCCTTGAGGTTGAGTGTGACATAGCTAAAATTAGGACTAGTTTAGGATTATATTAGACTTTTGTCCATTTAAACAATCAACAAAAACCAAAGGGCTTCTAGCCCAGTGGTATTAGGTGTTGTGTTTCCTTCAGGTTGAGTGTGACATAGCTAAAATTAGGACTAGTTTAGGATTATATTAGACTTGTTGTTTCGAAGACTGATCTTATCTGCACCTTATATATGTGTAAGAACTCACTCGAGTCAACCAATTAAACAATAAGATATGTTCTTTACTCTATAAAGATTAAAGAGTTGTTATGATTCCCTTTGCCTATGAATGTATGAAGGACTAAGAAGACAGACCGATGAGAAAAATGGAAGGGATGTGTTTCACTTGTTCTTTATTTTTATTTTGTAATAAATAGATAACCTTCACGGTACTTGCATTAGATTTTGATGAATAAGTTTAATAGTAAATCTTTTAGTAAAAAACTTTTGCAATTATAATATTCTTTGCTTGAAATTTTAATATTTGTGGGAATTACTTATCGAGGATACAATCCTATAGTGCCTTTTGTGGGCACCACCAATCCACTCCATGTTTCTATTTAAATATCTAAGAGATGGAAGCAGGAGGATTGAACAAAGAAAAAAAAACAAAACAAAAAAAAAAAAATATGGCAAGCTCAAGCTCTAGCTCTAATCAACATGTCACATTGGATGTTGGAGAAGAATACACATACCCGTATCCATCAAATCTTGCTGCAGCAAGCTTTATTAGTGTGAAGCTGAGTGGTAAGGACAAATACGGTATTTGGAAAACACAGATGCTATGTCTCTTAAAGAGTCATGGTATGTTTGGATTCGTTGATGGAACACTTGTAAGCCCTCAAACAAGTAGTAGTGTTTCCGGGAAGGAGAAAGTGTGTGACCACAACAGTCATTGGCTGTGGACAAGATCAGATGCTCTTGTGAAAGGTTGGATTCTTGGTTCCCTCTCGGAACAAACACTCACCGATGTTGTGGATCGTCTTACAGAAAAACTTCATTTAGATAGAAATGCGGCAGATGATTTCAGTGCAAAAGATGTATGGGATGAACTGCAGGCTATGTATGCTCCTCCTGCTGTTGTTCCACAACTGGCTCTTGTTGTTGAAGGTACGTACAATCTATCTCTTCTTTGCTAATCTAATCTATCGTTTATTTGGGTTGGTGATTTAGATATACGAAAGCATACCACTAGTAAAATATGTATATATATATATATATATATATATATATATATATATATATATATATATATATATATATATATATATATATATAGTTTTTACTGTATTTATTTAAACAAACAAGGTAAAAGAGATACAAAGCATAACAAGACGGATAAATGTGTACATACAAACAAGGTTTTTATTTGTTTAATTTTATTTTATATCCTTCTTTAAAATCCCTAACGTTTAGATTAGAGATTAGATTGCATCATCACAGAGCACATATTTTGTATCTATCATGTGGTTTTTTACCTTCATGACAAAAGTATGCAAATATAGATACACTACAAGATGAAGATGAAAAAGACAGAGTATTGAATCTCCAAGAATTGTACAAGTGTGCTCAACTTGGAGATTGGTATGGGGTCGAACGCATATTGAGTAAGGGAAGAGTTACAGTGATAGACAAAATCACGAATAATGGCAACACTGCCCTCCATGTAGCATTCGGTAGTTCCAAGGATCGGGAATTCCTAGAGAATTTGTTGGAAAGGATACCCGAGAACACACAATTATTGGATCTGAGAAATTCAGATGGAAGCACACCACTTCATGTGGCTGCCATTATTGGCAACACCCAAGCTGCTGACATCTTGGTGGCAAGAAACCCAGAGTTGTTGTTGGCCAAAGACAATGAAGGTCAGACACCACTAGCCTTGGCTCTTTCTAATATGCATACAGAGACAGCCCGACATCTCCTGCAACACATCAATACCGATATACAGAAGGATGCTCTGTTTTCTGGCACAACTGGTGATGAGCTTCTAGTTACTGTTATTTCCTATAAAGATTTTGGTAATACTCCTTTAAATGGACTCAGATTCCAGTCGTAAAAATCTACCCACTTACTTCATACAGCTGACTTTGGAATATATGCAGGCTTTGCAAAAGATCTGTTGCGGCATTACAGAACATTGCATACTGATGCTGTGCTATTGGCTATAGTTCAAAATTTCCCTGGTGAACTCAACTTATTCGAAAGATATGTAGGTGTGTTGTCTTTTTATCTTAATTCTACATGCTCTTTGACATAGTAAAGGCATCTCCAATCTTATATTAACAAGTCACTTTTACACTATGAATTACACTATAATGCTCCAACCGTACAATATACCTATTACCTAACACTATATATAGTGTTGGATTTTATTGTAACACTAAACAGATATGTTGAATAAAGAAGAATATACCTAGAACATTCTTTTTAGAACATTCTTTTCCTGAAGATTATTAACATGTTAGGTAAGATGATCACAAGTACCATCATTGTGTTAATAAAAACAGAAGAGAATAAAAAAAGGTCTATTTCTTTATTTGAGATGCTCATTTGGGTCTATGTTGCAGTGTCTCCAATCATTAAAAAGAGACTTCACATTCACCGAGATGCTATGAAACTGTTGCAGGGTGTATGTAGTTTGATAATGAAAAATAAATACTCTAGCTCTTACGATCACTATTACACAAATCCGATTCTTGAAGCTGCTAGTCGAAATGCATACAAGTGTGTAAAAGAAATTGTGTATCACTTCCCTAATGCAATTTGGAGTGCCAATGAAGACGGTCACAGCCTTATTCAACTTGCTGTGATAAATCGCTCAGAAAAGGTTTACAACCTTCTTTATCAGATAAGTGAACATAGAAATATATATCGCACAATTAAAGACTCTTCGGGCAATAACCTGTTGCATCTAGCTGCAAGATTGGCACCATCCAACAAACTGAATCTTATATCAGGGGCAGCCTTACAGATACAACGAGAGCTACAATGGTTTAACGTATATAACTATGAATCCCCATGATTAAAACCATGAGTATTAATCAAGCATGTGTAACATATTGTAATCTTGTAGGAAGTGGAAAGCTTTATTTCTCCTCTAAGCATCATACAAAAGAACTCTTTCAATGAAACACCACAAATGATGTTTACTAGAGAACACAGGGAGTTGGTGATTGAGGGAGAAAAATGGATGAAGTCCACTGCGGAGTCCTACGCGATTTCAACTGCATTAATCATCACCATAGTTTTCGCAGCAGCTATTACAGTCCCTGGAGGAAACAACCAGGAGACGGGGATACCAATTTTTACCAGCAACACAGCCTTCACAGTATTTGCAATATCAGATGCCATATCATTATTCACAGCTGTTACATCAATGTTAATGTTTTTGTCGATTCTCACCGCACGTTTTGCTGAACAAGACTTTCTCTACAAGTTGCCTGCAAAGTTAATAATTATTTCGGCCACCTTGCTGATCTCAACTACAACTATGGTCATTGCTTTTGGAGCAACATTGTACCTTGTGTTTGGCCAAAGTAACTCAATCTTTCTTGTTCCTATCGCGCTCTTGACATGCTTACCAATTACTTCTTTTGTGACCTTGCAATTCCCTCTTGTCATAGATTTGGTAGATGCTACATTTGGTCCTACTATTTTAGGTGCGAACATGAACAGAGATTATTCTCCTCGCTATACATAGACCAATATTGATTTGATAATAAGTTGGAAATTCGAGATTGCAATGATAGCGGAAGTTGTGGAATGTATTGTAATATTAGTTTTAATTCATGAAAAATAATCTAGTTATACAACTTTTACTCACAACAGTAGCAATGAAGTCAAACAATGTGGTAATAAAGACTTACTCTCAATCTCTTATTTGTACAAAAGACATAAATACCCTTCTCATCTTCCTAACAAATATAATAGCTCTACAAAGTCCAATCCAAATTTAACTACTAACTAATGCAACAAATAAACCATAGACATAGATAGTAGTATATTATCTAGTAAAACCAATTATTAAACATAGGATCATATCTACATGTTTAAATCATGCACGACAGGTTGAAATTCTTCAAAAATCTCTTTTTCTTCATTTTGAAATTTGAATTTTTGTGAGTCTCTTTTTCAAATCTATGCTCCGTTAGCACTCCGCAGGCCCCGAAAACTTGAAAGTTTGTTCCAAACACAATTCAGAAGAGGTTCATCCGAACAGAATTTCAAAACTCAAAACTTTTTCTGACGCGAAAAATATACTGCTGCTCAGCGTGCAGTCAGGTATCTGAAACTGAACTATTTTGTTTCTGTCATTTATTTGTGCGGGCTTGTGTATCCACCATGGGAGTCGTTAGAAAAGTTTATTTTTGCTTGATTATTGTTTATTATGCCTAATCTGTCCCAACCTTTTGACCTGAAAAATGTCTCCTAAACCTTCCCGTTCACACAAAAATGTTGACACTCCAGGCCCGTTATACACTGTTCAGGCGAACAATGTGATTGTAGATTTATGTTTACATGTTGCATTTGACTGTTACCGGTGACTTCTCGACCGAGAGATTTTACCTCAAGCCTGGCCCCAGCCGCGCATTAATGCGGGAACACCATCGTTGTCACACCCCAAAACCGAGAACGGCGGAATATGTTCTGGGGTGATGGATGTCATGTACAATATCATTACAATTGCATAATAATAAAAACAAGAAACAACAACCATTGCATATATATAGTGATAATAATTACAATTGTGTTCTGAAAAGTTATAGACACCAAAAGTATAACAAAACAAAAGATGAGTCTTGTATATGCTCCATCTTCTTCCAAAGCTTCCCTGTACCTGTCTATCTTTGACCTGAGGATACAAGTTATTTTGAAAACTAATATCAGCATAAAGCTGGTGAGTTCATAAGAATTTAGTGTCATTGTAGTATAAAAGTGTTTGCAAATTTATAGTATAAAAACTGAAATTTGTATTTATGAGTAGTAGAAATCCCTAGAAAATCCTATATTTTCCAGAAAGTACATTAGTAAGTCAATTCTTCTAGTGTGTAAAAGTAATGTTGTTGAAGCCTTCCATTGTAAAAGTGTAGTAACAAATCTCATGTACGTAATACGGCTGAAGAAAAGTTATGCTTGCTAATGGTAGTAGTGTTATAATTTTAGTTAGTAATAGATCATTAATTACTTCGGGATTTTAGTTCAGACTTTAAGTCTTAGTGTATTTGTTTGGATGTAAGTTTAACTTCTCATGTGACCAATTGTGAAGTAGTAGAGTACCGATGACCCTCCCGGTCATGCGTAGTGAAGTAGTGTAGTGTCACCCCTGGGCCTAGTCGGCTCGGACTGTAGATAATAGTCGGGATGTAATAGTGTCAGTTCTGTATAGATCTATACATATAGTGTTGCTTTCCTTTTGGGAAGCCATGGTCACATGGTGTAAGTGTAGTAGAGTGCCTTATAGAGAGTGATAGTGTGGTATACTTGGTATTAGTGAATTTTCTTATGCTTTAGTATGATAGTCTTTTAGTATAGTAAGTAGAGTGTTCCCTTATACTTGCATTAGCTTGTAATATTAACAGTTTATGGTGTGTATAGTAGTAGTAGAGGTAGCTAGTAGTAGCCTTAACTATACCTATTATAGTTAAATAGAGTATGTGAATTTCTGCTTCTGATCAACAGTATTAATGAATAAGATAAAAACATTCATATCTACACAAATATATAATATACAATTAAGAATTTAACGACAGTCGGACGGATAACCAATACCTTAAAACCACATCAAAGAAGAACAGGAAATAAGGCCAGCTATCGATCCTAAGTCCTTCAGGTCTTATTTATATAAACATATTAATGTAGATATGTTCTTAAAAAGAAAATTAGTTGGAACATAGTTTAGAAAATAGTTTAACAATGATTTAACCTTAAAGGCGCATTTGATAATTTGTTAAAATAGTTTTATTGACAACTATCTAAAATTTTGAAGTAATCCCTTTTTTGATGATAGATTGTAAATCACATATGATTTGATAATAAAACATGTATTAATGTACTTGTATCCCCCCCCCCCACCCCCAAAACATGTAAAAACATTTAAAAGGTTCATTAAGGGGTATGAATTCACCGGACTAGAAATGTGTCGACTAGGATATTTAAACGTCGAATTGAGGCTTGTAAACGTGCGAGGTTCCTATGTAATATTAAATGATACACAATAGTATCTAATTAGATTTAAATCACTAATTTAATAGAGGATATACATTCTAGTCGCGAAAACACTTCAATTCAAGTGTTTGGAGTGACCCAGGTAACATGTATGGACATGTATGGTTTGGATAAGGAGTTTACTCTTCAAGAGTAAACTCTTTGGAGAGATTTCAGCCCTAAACACCTCATACCCATGAGTTTATGGCCATAAACTCATGGATGAGGTTCTTGGGTGCTAAATGGCCTTTTACTAATTGAGGGATGATGCTAGGTTTTATTCCAAGGCATTAGAAAGGGACTAATTCAAACATATGGACTATTTGATGAGTTTACAGCAGTAAACTATGAGTTTACGGCCGTAAAATCTCACCCACACATTCATTATTTGTTTTGAAGGCCATAGGTTAATCATAAGTGGTTCTACTCATTTTTACAAGTCAAGGGATGAGTTTAGGGCACCATTTTACCCTTTTATAGGAGTTTACAGCCCATGGACCCATGTATGAGGGGTTTACGGCCGTGAACTCCTTATGGAGTTGTTTTAATCGAGTTTAAGGTCTCTAACTTGTTGGTGGTTGCTTCTAGATTTTATTCCAAGGCTTATGAGGTGTATAAGTGACATTTTAACACCCAAATATGAGTTTACTCTCCATGAAGGTGAGTTTACGGCCCAAGCATGATCTTGGGTAGTAAACTCATGTTTACTCTCCAAAAATTCGTTTCAAGGTGTTCTAAGTTCAGTATATTAAGTCATATAGCCATATCTAAGCTCCAAAGGTCAATTGGAAGGGTTTAAAGGCTCAAAAACCCCTTATATGTGTGTTTACGGCCCATGAACGTTCCAGGGCCATAAACACATGAAAATGGTCCTAATTGATTGTTTAACCACGAATTTGAAGGTCTAAGATGCTAATCTATGAGTTAGGGAAGTTACCTTAGTGATTTGAAGCTTGAAAAGTGTGATTTTTGGACCTAAATCTTGGATTGAGGAGAGAGGTTAGAGAGAGAGTGAAAAAGTGTTCAATAGAGGCTTAAACCACTTTATATATTGTTTGGATTTGGGACATAGTGGAATTCTACCCGATACTGATGTTAACCGAGGCTTTAGGTCGCACCCGATCAAGTTGCCGTCACCCGATGTGGTTAAAACTAAAGTTTGTCCAGTTACTAGTTTGAGATGTTTTCTTTTGTTTTTAACATGTTTGGATACTTACAAAGTCAAAATAAAAGTCTCAATTTAATTGACCTAATCCACAAACGGAAACAGAATAATTCGCTTAAGACGAGTTTTACGGACGGAATGGGTTGTAGCGATGGAACAACTTCAGGTTGTCACATTATCCCCCCGTTAGAGGGAACTTCGTCCCGAAATTCGAGTTCAAACAATAATGTTATTACAAGGTAATTAAGCGAAAAGATGGGGGTTCTTAAGCTTCATCTGATCCTCGCGTTCCCAAGTGAATTCTGGCCCTCGCTTGGCGTTCCATCAAACTTTCACAATCGGAATGCGGCTTAGTTACGTTCGTTTGACCTCTCGATCCATAATTTCCATAGGTTCTTCCACAAAGTTGAGGCTTTCGTTGATCTCGATCTCGTCTAGTGTGACCACTAGGGTTTCGTCAGATAAGCACTTTTTCAGGTTCGAGACGTGGAAGGCAGAGTGTATGTTACTTAGCTCGTGGGGTAGGTTGAGTTTGTAAGCTACGGGGCCGATTCTAGTGAGAATCTCAAAAGGCCCTATATACCTTGGGTTCAGCTTTCCACGCTTTCCAAAGCATATCGTGCCCTTCCAGGGTGAGACTTTCAACAGGACTCGATCTCCCACCTGGAATTCCAAAGGTTTTCGTCGTTTGTTTGCATAGATTTTCTGTCGGTCCCTAGCGGCTTTTAATCGTTCACGAATCTGTACAATCTTATCGGTCATTTCTCGGATGATCTCTGGACCCGTGACAGTGCTGTCAGGAACTCGTCCTTTAGCTAACTGAGTGTCACCCACCTCAGCCCAGCATAAAGGGGATCTGCACTTCCGGCCGTAGAGGGCTTCAAATGGGGCTGCCTTGATGCTCGTGTGGTAACTATTGTTGTAGGAGAACTCAACAAGGGGTAGGTGTGTATCCCATGCCTTACCAAAGTCAATCACACATGCTCGCAACATATCCTCTAAGGTTTGGATCGTCCTCTCACTTTGTCCGTCAGTCTGCGGATGGTAGGCTGTACTCATGTCCAACCTCGTCCCTAAGGCGCTTTACAGCGATTGCCAAAATTTTGAAGTAAACCTACTGTCTCTATCTGAGATAATAGATATAGGGACACCGTGCAATCGAACTATCTCCTTAATGTATGTTCTTGTGAGTTTCTCCATCTTGTCTGTTTCTTTGATGGGTAGGAAGTGTGCGGACTTGGTTAATCTGTCAACGATGACCCATATGGTATCCAACCCACCCGTTGTCTTGGGTAGCTTAGTTATGAAGTCCATAGTGATCCGCTCCCACT